GACAGGTTTTAAGTTATACATATAGTTTACACGTGTCTAAAATCAAAGTTTCGGTCTCGTAAACAATTTTAGGATTTCAGGCTGGCAGTCAACGTGTTAAAGGAAATACGTATTTTGTTGAATTATTATAACAGAAGCATGTTTATTATTTTTTTAAGTATTTTAACAGCATTGGTTGTAACCATGTGTGATGATAAACCTGTATTCTATTTCCTCTACTATCATATTCAAAACATATACTATCGATCTTTCGAAACAATTATTATACGAATAAATAAATGAAATTTTGAACCTCAAGAATGTTCTGGGACCTTTTAAAGGAAGCTTCGACATGAAAATTATACCAAAAGATAAAAAGAACGTGTGGCTGTTGATTCAAATTTATTTATTCGAGAAGACTCTTTTCGAATAAATAAATTTGCAAATAATTAACAAAAAGAAGAGAATGAGACCAAGTAAAGAAAGAACAGCGATGTCTAGAAACAGATTTTCTCAAACGCAAATATAAAACTTCATTTTACTGCCCCCCCTCGATATTATCGAGAGTTCAAGCATTTGTATTCGCCTAATTCGCCGCTAGTAACGTGTTAAGAAGTTTGCGTTCGAACGTTGAAACGATAATGCCTTGGCAAGTATTCGTTTCGGAAATATTTGACAGTAATGGCCGGTCTGTGTCCATCGAGAGTGGATATGACGCGTGAATTTCGTATTCGTCGCACCTCGGCGTAATGTAAAACTTCTGCTAAACGGCTGGTCCAAAGGAGAAATTGGAAAAGTGGGAGAAAAAGAAGAGGAAGAAACGGACGAAAGAAAGAGGAAGCGAACTCTTTATGGACTTGTTTGTCGCTCAGCGGCTTTTTAGGATTTATTCGAAAAGTTCGGATCCGCGTCGAAACGCCTCCGCAGGATCGTTTTAACCGATCGCTCGACAGTTAGACGAGGCGATTTCCTCTTTCATAGTAATCCGGTATCGAATACGAGCATTTTTATAAACAAAACTTTGTACCGCCGGATCCTGTTTGCAAATCTCAGGTACGTAATTCCTTTATCGCGACGGACGTTTATGCAAACGCGTATTGTAATGGTATTCCGAGTTACGAAAATAGGAAAGAAATTTTAGGTTTACGGTGGTGTAGGGCCAACATTTTAGTACTACAGAATATTGTATTTCTGATCTGGCAGCGAACGTGTTAAATAACAATCCGACAATGACAAACGGTTGCTAATTCTGGGACAGCAAACGTGCAAACGTATTTATGGATAATTGTATTAATAAACTGTACACTCGAATGCACGCGTCGGGGTACGAAAACAGAGCTCCTCTCCCTAATTATCCGAATGAACGAGAACGTTCGCGTTTATCTTCCTTTCGTCGCGATCCTCTTTCTCTCTTAAACCGTATCTCTTCGAGCCGTCTTCTCTTCTACCTTGTAGCGCGTTCGCGATTCCATCGTGACCGGCAAACCTTACGGAAGGTGAACGGGCAACGAAATAAAATGATAGAAAGAGAGAGAAAGAGAGAGTAGGTGGACGTCGTTGTACAAAAATAAACGAAGTCTTTAAAAAGGCTGAAAATATGTCGATAAATCTAATGTTTAGCCGAGATAGGTCGCCGGCGACTGCCGGGGAGCAACTGACTCCAACGAGGACGGGCATTAAAACGACCCAAGTGGACTATTATTTCTCGTTAACCTCGAGCCGAACTCGACGAGAAGTTGGATACTTTCGAACAGCAGCGAGAAGGGTGAGAATCTTTCCACCTTGGAGAAAGTTTTCAAATCCGTGCTATCCGCCATCCACTCTGTTCCGCGATCGCGAGTTACGATTGTCACCACCCCCCACCCTCCCCACGGGGGGAGGTCTACGTACCCATCGACGCTGACAAATTATACATTTCTATATACGCGTGATCCACTTTTATCGTGACACACCTAGCGCATCGATGATATTTACTATCCTTTCGCGGACGGAGAACCGAGTCCGGTCTCAAAAATTCCTTCCAGCTCGCATATTTGGGAAAGTTGCTCGCTCGGGATTGCCCCGGCGGAATCAACGGAAACTCTTTTGTTCGATTGATCGCTCGTCGTTTCCACGCTACGCTGAAATAATCGTCCGAATTCTGTTGTTGTTCGCGTCCCTCCCCCGCCCGTCGATATAATTGGGTCATCCCGAAAGTTTCCGCGGTTATTGCTACGCCCGACTTTAAAGGAGTACCCCATATATGGAACTCCTAGGCTTTCGTTGGTTTTTTATTAAACATACACGGTACTTTTTCGAATCAAAATAATGAAAATTGAATTACAGATAAACGAAGTCCTTCGAGAAGAAGTGTCCTCATCGCTGACACGATTCCAGTGTTCCACGTTCTAGTAATCAGAAAAAAATATCTTCGTTAGAACAGTTATGATCCATATATGCAACTCTTAGGCTTTCGTTGGGTTTTCTCGAATAAAAATATTGAAAATTTAACCACAGATAAACGAAGTCCTTCGAGCAGAAGTGTCCCCATCGCTGACACGATTCCAGTGTTCCACGTTCTAGTAATCAGAAAAAAATATCTTCGTTAGAACAGTTATGATCCATATATGCAACTCTTGGGCTTTCGTTGGGTTTTCTCGAATAAAAATAATGAAAATTTAACTACAGATAGACGAAGTCCTTTGAGGAGAAGTGTCCCCATCGCTGACACTGATCTTCCTCGGAATAGTTACGACCTGAAAAAGTAAAAATCTTGTTAAATGAGAAAATTGTGGTACGTTGCAGGATCGAGGTTGTACAGTCGATAATCACGAAAAACTCAATCCTTTGGTACTTACTTTGCATTTGAGTTTGGCGAGGCACATTCCATTCGCGGGCACGGGTATGCGTGCGTATGATTTATACTCTTCCTTGTTTCAAGTTACGCATCCAAGAATCCGCTGGCCAAGATCGCCGAGAGTCAGGGCGTTACTCGCGTATGACGTGTGCAATTTCTCGGGGAATTATTCCACGCACGCCAACGGCAGTTCGTGATATATGGCCAGGCGCATAAGAGACGTGTCCCTCCTACACGCGTGACCCACGATCGGGGCCGAATATTGAATCACTTTAATATCTTGGAACGAGACACGAGACGTACGACGGGTCACGATGGCCCGCGTCGACCTTATCGTGTGTGTTTAATTGCCAGGGAATCGCGTGTAAGTACCTGGCTAAGTAACAATATTGCCATCAAACTTCATTCAACTCAGAAATTCATTCACACATTTCCACATTCTGGGAAATAGGGGAAATTCCCACAGTACTAAGTGAAATCAATTATCTCTTCTAGTGTGAGGTGGCAGTAATGTTATTGTCAAACTTCATTCACACACTTCCACATTCTGGGAAACAGGGGAAAATTCCACAGTACCAACTGAAGTCAATTATCTTTTCTAGTGTGAGGTGGTAGTAATTTTATTGTCAAACTTCGTTCCACTCAGAAATTCATTCACACACTTCCACATTCTGGGAAATAGGGGAAAATCCCACAGTACCGACTGAAATCAATTATCTCTTCTAGTATAAGATGGTAGTAATTTTATTGTCAAACCTCGTTCAACCACTCAGAAATTCATTCACACACTTCCACATTTCCACATTCTGGGAAATAGGGGAAAATTCCATAGTACCAACTGAAATCAATTATCGCTTCTGATGTGAAGTGACACTACTGTTATTGTGTCGTGTAACATGTTTTAAAGCCATATTGTCTATTTCAGTATTACCGATATTCCTACATGTAATACGTATACCTTCATTTCTATCGCGTAGATGGTTAAGATTGAAAAAATCGAAATTTTTTTTCCGGTTTTTTTTGGATCATAGGTTTAGTGTTAAGTACTATATACACTATAATTTACCTTTTTAAAAGTTACAATTAAAAAACAAATTTGACGGTACTAGGGGATTTTGTATACAATGGAACTTTTTAAGAAAAAATAAAATGTTCGGTTAATTTTTTTATTACAACTATATTATACAAATTACATCCTAACTAATTACGATACAAAAAAAAAACAAATAAAATATATAACAACGCCAACTTTCAACGGAACAAAAGTACTGGCACAGTGGTAATTTTACAGTGTAATATTAATTAGTTTTGCAGTTCCTGTACCTATTTTGTTCCATTATGTCCAAAGCACTTACATACCCACAAACACATAATTGTTCGCAAGATTTTGTATCAAAGTTTATTTTGGAAAACAGAAGCATCGTTTGATTTGCAGACCCAATGCGTACGAAATATCATTTTTATAACATTAGAATAGAAATGTGAATATATTTTCCAAATGAACTGATACAATAAACTCGTATGAACGAGTCTGTGAGCCACTGTATGTAAGAAAAGAAAAATAAATTAGTGAAAATTATTAAAGCATGTTGCTTCACCCAAGAAAATAATTCAGGCAATGTACAAAGGATTAGGAACTGTTTATACAAGATACAAATCAGTCAGAGTGATGTCAGTTCTTCGGCAAAATGCGTATATTTAGGTCTTCTATTTAGATATTTAGATATTTATTGATATTTATGATTTTTTTTCAGAATGAAACAATCATAATTGGCCACTCTGGATATTCTAAATCTTACAATTTCCATGGTTTCAGCCATTTTGGACGTGTGAAATGAAAAATGAAAGGAATTTCTTTATTAGGATCTATTTGGAAAATGTCAATAATTAAAAAAATAGCAACTCTCTGAAGTTTAATTATCGATTTTTTCGAAGAATTAAGAAAAACAAAATAAAAAATGTTTTTTAGAAAGACGCGTTTAAAATATTCTTTATGATTCTCGGGGAACTAAAAAAGTATGAAACTCGGAGTTTGGACACAGAATTCACCCGAATTATCGGAATTATTAATTTTTTAGCTCTTCTTCAATAAGTGTAAAAAAAAAAAATCGATTTTTTGAAAGGTTTACAGTAAAATACCCTCTTAATCAAACCAATTTTCTAATCATTTATTTATGCAGCAGATCAGGCGCCGTTAAAATTATCACTTACATCGATAAAATATAGTCGATCTCAAGACTTTCGAAACAGAAATTCCACGTCTAGAGTAACCTTTATATAAAATTGTTACATTTTATAAAAGATATGTTTTCGTATGTACTATTTAACAACGATCACATTCGTACATGTAACAAATTATATAGTAAATTTCAAAGGCGTAAAAACTCTTTCGTGAATGCAGTACACATTTGGTTCCCCTATTTTTCATTTCGAACCTATTCCTAGAATTTTGTGGGAAATAAATATTAAAATGACAAACTTTGGGACAATAATGGGTAATAAAAAACTCCAATATCCACCGTTGATTCGATAAGCTAATTAAAATCGACTTATCTAATTATTATAACATCGGTGATATTCAAATTTGAGAACGAAATGAATCATCAAATTTACGGAATTTTAATTAGGTCTAAATGCGAATTCGTTAACTATCCACCGTGGAAAAAATAGTTCGAACAAAAATTAAATTATTTTGAGATTGTCCCACGTAATCTAGCGTAATTATATAATTTTGAATGCACTGATGGATACAAACGTTAACAAATATTTTAATCTTAATATTGTTTATTATAATAGACTAACAAATTTTGTCACACAACGTACCACTTTGCAACATTAAGATTAAAGTATCTTCTTAACTGAAAGTTTCTCAACATAAATAACTTTTTATTCTAGGAAATAACGAACTGCATCCACGAATGCATAAAAAATTATACGAATTCTATTTAAGAAAATATATGTCACCTTTGTATGAAGAACTAATTATATTATGCTGTGTCGTTCAATATTCAAACCATTTTTTATACAGTTAGAAGTTCAGAAATAATTCGCATTTATAGATCAAAATCAAACACCCTGTATACCTCACGAGAGAAAATTTGGCGGGGTCGTAAGAATGCTACAATAAAACAAGACAAGAATAATTTGTACAATGTCATGCCCTTTTCTTCTTCTTACCCTAAAAAAAATAGTTATGCTTCTCAAGTATTAACAGATTAATTCAAAGTGTATGCACACAAACGCATCGATTAAATACTTGTTCGAATTGATTTCGTGATACCCAACAAAAAAATACAAATTCGTGGTTAACGGTACTGTTTTTGCTGAAAAAAAATGTACCACTGACTTCGTACACACCAAATAGCACTTGAAAAGAAATACTGTAGTTTGATGGTATTATTTTCAATTACGTATTAGTGGATTAATTGAGGAATATATGAAAAAAGCAGATTGATAAACTATTTCCTGTTAACAGTGTGTATTTCTCACCCTTATTCGTACACACGTATTATATTTTCACTAAATATTAATTAATTATTTCAATTTGCACACAGTATTAATACTCATAGCAATTTCAAATAAAACAGTTTCTCGTTATATTTTTATTCGCGAGCATTTACATCGATTACACCGTATTTACGAACCAGAAATACAGTTGTCGACAGTTGCTCGAAATGCAAATTCTGTTTCATAATATTTTTGCAATATTACTCTTTAAATACGACATAATCGATGAGAAATTTTAACAAACCGAATCGAACACCGAAGTCAACAACGCGGAATGATTCAGAAGGAGATATCACAGCTACAGAATTGCCAATTTCAATAAACTTTTTCTAAATGAAAAACAAAATTAAAGAAACACGAATTAAGCGATTTCTGTGGCACACCGTATAATTCGAGTTTTTTCTTAGAAAGATGATATCTGTTACTACAGTTTTATAGTTACTCGAAGTGATATCTTGTAATAAAGAAAAAGTAGACCAAGTGAATTGTATTATGTACACTAGATGCAAACAATCTTGTCCATACTGCCACAGATGCCACAATAAAACGTGTTAATCTTGTTTCGATATTTGGTAAAATCACCGATCTGATTTTATCAGTCGAAAGTCACCTTTCGTTGTACTGTGCAAAGCTGAAAAGATGATGAATAGAAGGAATGCAGGCACGATTAGTTGCAACGGATTAGTTACGCCCCTATCGTAGTTTATTATTGGTCGAAGCAGTCACGTGGGTCGAATGCTAGTGGCTAGAAAACTTTATCCCTGTAATGTCCCATTTACCTTTTTTCCAGCGATGCACAGTACATACAGAGTGTTAAATAAAAAGTTCAGGATTTGTAAGACAGTTAAAAGTCCTAATAAAAATGGCTTGATAAAATTAATATTCCCGGAATTATAAACAATTTTCTGTTCACGACAGAATCAACGGATTAATCTTACTATTTTTTCTGTTGGGGTTTACAAAAGATTTTCCATATAATATAAATCAAATTATTTATAATTTTGGGAATATTAATATTTCAACCCACGTTTCTCAGGACTTGTATCTTTCGAGGAAAGTATTATCTGTCCTGAAAATCGTCAACTTTTTTCGAATACCTTGTATATTGTTAACACGTTGATTGCCAAAACCCGTAAAATTTTATACGAAATCAAAACTTTGATTTTCGACCATCGTAACGAGAATTGTCCACAAAAATTCACATTTTTGACCAATTTCTCTCATCCTATTGTCTGAAAACTTTTGAAAAAAATCGGAGGCATTTTATAGAATTTTTAAAAAATTTTTAATTGAAAATTTAAATTATAAAAATGTAAAAAACCTCAAAAACTGTTGGAAAAAAGCCGGTTTACATTTAAGAGGAGCTGTTGTATTCTCAGTAGCGAGCAAAATGGCCGAATGTTAATTCACCGCGAAGTTTTTGAATATACGTCCAACATGAATTATATATTTTTTTCAACTCCTAACTACATAACAGTGGGAAACACTTATTTACAGATGATTCGAAAACATGTTAAGAATATTTCAACCTGAAATATACATAAATATTGCGACGTTTTGAATTTAAAAATATATTCAGCTAAAATTATTTTGAATACCTGTCTGTTCATTCCAATGCTAGTGTTAAAGATTAAGTAGGCGACTTAACACTGTTTGGAGAACGGGCTGAACGTATTTACAGTTTTAACGCGAGACAATCTTATGCTATCGTAGTTCTTTTATTTAAATTGCGTACTGATAATTCAAATCGCTTTCGAAAAAGATGTATTATCTTTCTATTCAAAAACCTAATCAAAAATGAAACACCTCCCGTCGCCAAGAAATTATATAACATATCAGATCGGTTGGCACTGATTTTCGATGGAAAATGGAGGACAAAATTTGAAGCAAAATTTAATTTGCAAAAGGGTGAATTTTATCTATGACTGGATTAATTTGGAGTGCAAAACCTATATTATCAATTGTCGAGAAGTTGGCTAGCTCCGCCCATCCCCACTCTAACGACAGTAAACTAGAGTGGGGCACCAATCAGACCAGCATTCCTTTCACAGTACTTACTTTCGTAACTCCATCAAGATCCATCGATCTCACTCGGATTAACCAACTTTTTAAAATCGCGTCTCGAGAATTAATCAACGTGTTAAAAATATAATAAACTGCAAACGTTCAAATCGAAAATAGAATAAAAGGAACAAGTTTGATTGAAATTGGCGACCGAAGTTAGCGATCCCATAGTTACTCCCTTCCGTCGACGGCCAAGTAATGAAACCAAAGAAACAAAAGTAAATATAATTATGATTACCGACAAGGTGCATTTATTTCTCGTCAACGATGCATGTAATCTTCAGAATAGCGTCTAAGGAACGTGTACAGAGAGAAATGGATTGTGAAGGATGCGCGACGATCCGTGATTCACCGATCGTCGACGTACAGTTTATTAAATCGGGAATTTCGTTATAGTGCGTCCAACAAATCTATATTTCCTCTTTCTCGTTCGAATCAGAAAAATGTCCATTATCGTACTAGTCGGAGCGATCGTCGTTGTCCGTGAAATGTTCCTCCGAACATCGGCGACGGCGATTTACATAAAATATCGTACGTTTAAGTAACACTATGCCTCCTGAGCGGCATATCGTCACTTGTCCTGATTAAATCGTCTTTTCGTTGGCCACCAGCGCGGTGGCTCGACGCGGCGAGCAAATTCTCCTCGAACGTGTCCACCGTGAAGTCCTGCTCTTTGGGCAGTTTCGGTAACACCTTGCTCATCTGGTTGTTCCGTCTGATCAGACGGGATCCGGATCTGATGGTGTTTCTGACGGACGTCACCATGTCGATTCTCATGTGCTGTTTCCTCTTTTGCGTGTGTATTCGTTTTAGGACAATGGGTCTGCCCGGTGCGGCAGACGGCGGTGGAGGCGGTGGTGGCATCTTTGGGGGTGGTAACCGGGCTGGTGGACCGGGCGGTAACCGAACTCCGACCGGTGTTCGATTCAGACCGTGCTGAGAGGGAAAACCCGGGGCGAGGAATCCTGGCCTAGGCGGCGGCGGAGGCATAACTGGTCGCAGCGGTGGTCCGTACCTGAATGGCCTCGGACCGTACATAGGCAGAGAACCAGGCGGCGGTGGAATCGGTGGCATGGAACGGAAATCTTGCGACGGGCCCCCGAAACCGAAACGCGGCAACGGATATGGCCCGTTTTTCGCGAAACCGCGTCGCAGAGGCAGAAATCCCGGCGGGCCCATCGTGTTTGGGACCGACTGGTTCCTCGACATCTTGAACAACGAACGCATCTTCTCCGCCTCGAACGACAACGGCGGGGGCGACTTCAAACTGACTTTGCTCGTATCGATCTTCTTGTCGCGCGGCGTCTTCTTCAACGCGTTTAAATATATTTCGCGCTCGATTGGGTATCCACGAGCCTCCCCGAACGCTGAAACAGGCACAATAAGCGTTCTCTCACACTTTGATCCGGCAGAACCTCGCGCGATTAGATCAAATCAGGCTACTCGAGCGGGTCATCTTTACCTCGCCAATTATTTCACATCCAGAGAGGGTTAATATACAAATTCAAGCATTATTCCTTCGGACTTTCTTTTTCGAAAATGGCCTACCTCAGAGCAAGGATAAAAACCTTTTTGAAAGACGTTTATTATGTCGTTGCACGTACAATTTTTTTTTTTATGTTTAACACGAGATATATGATAACTGTCCTAACCATCGAACATTTAGCGTTTGTTAATAGAATTGATCAATATTAAGAAGGTACACAGCTTATGATGTTGTTTGTTCTTTAACTTGATTCAATTGTTAAGCTCCAATGTAGAAATAAATAATTGTGACTCGGGCAACTTATAAGTAAATTAATTGTTTTAAATAAAACGATATTAATTTTATCTATTTTAACCAATTGAAATAACACGAAAGGAAATCAATAATAAAAACACTGGTTTTAATTCATGTTTCAGGGTTAGAACTTCATTTTTCCTTACTGGAACCGAGTGTGTACATATTGTACCAATTTTTTGACAGATCTGCATGCTATATATGTATATGACTATAAAATAGTGTGAATTAAAGAAACGGCATTAATAGTATTTAAACAATTTTAAACTTTTCAGTAACTACATTATTTTACTTCAAACGTAATAATTACCTTAGAATTTTATCAGTTTAATCCGAGAACATACTCTTCTTTCATTGATTTGTTCAACACTCTAACTTCAATTTAAATTGAATATTAAGGTCTTCTACACATAACCTTAAATTGTTCATCAATTTTCCGCGAATGATTCGAGCAGACAGTACGATATAAATTATTACTTTGCGAATATAATCAGTAACACTGTCAATTCTTATTTACTAATCAAAAGACCGGTTTAATGGCAACAATTAAAATATAGGTGTATCTAGATTACCTACCTTTTAAACAATTGTCAAGTTCCCAACCTAACTGTTGCACAAGATACCTATAATGAAACAGACAATTACAAATGTACTTAATTATTCACTTAACGTAATAAATACTTTCATACAATATTAGATACAAGTTAAACGATACGAGAAATTATATATGTATGTACCTATTTCTAAATAAATGATCATTTTTATTTAATTATAGTAATTGGTACAGCTTTACACTTCATTAATTCGTAATGATTTTTAATATTACATTTTATTTAGCACTGAAACGTACTAACCTGCAAATGAGGTAGCCAGAACGATTTATACCATGCGTGCAGTGAACGCCAATAATATCTTCTGAAACAAAAAACAAAGACATACTTCGAATAGGAATTCATTTCAGATCTCTGACAATTAAAAGTATTTCATGATTACAGATAGAAAAATGTTCGAACCAAAAATTGAATGGTTTTCAGAGGTGTATAATCTGCTGTAATTTTTTTTTCTCATTAATAAATCTTTTTTAATATATCATTCGATGTAGTCATTTCCTGTGGAGAACTATTAAACCATTTATTTAATATTGAAGCGTCTAAATTATTAAGTTGAAATATTTTTTAAACCAATGGCTTTTTGTCATAAATAATACAGTACTTTTTTTATCGGGAATGAGTGGTTGAATCGATCAATGCATTAAAAATACTGAATGTCATACGAAGGAGATCATTATTTTAATGATATAGTAGAAATATTTAGTTTGTTAACTTTTCCATGTCTTTTGTTTAAAATAGGTTCAATACCGGAAACCAACCAATTTGAGTAAAATTTTTCGTTTGTTGCATGCTGAGCTCTATGATCTATACACCAACTATGATTAAAAGACTCAACTACTATTTAATAAAAGATAACAAAGAATGGACTAAAAAAATATTTTCGTATTAAAGGGCTCCCTTCGTGTCTCTAAAATTCTAGCACATTAGAACGTTTAATTTTAATTTTAACGCTGTTACACGAGAATCCTCCTTGAGATGAAGGTGCAAGATTAGGAATAATCCGTGAGTGGGAGAGAACAACGGTCGTTAACTCGAGAAAATGCATGCAAGGATATTAGCATTTCGAGATATTTCATAAGGTTCGGCGAACGAGATAACCTCAAAGAGAAACCAAGCCCAAAATATCGTAAGAGCAGAGCGTACGTAAGGCGAGACGCACGATTTCACGGGTCATCAATTCAACGTGGGTCACGGGGTCGGCGCATCTTCGGGCACAGCAAGGGGCTGATTATAATATTATCGCAAATTACCAGCAAACGCTGCGACGAATTCACGACAATTCCCGGTCGGAGCTGGTGCGGGTCACGGCGGCACTTTCGCGGGGGCCAACCCTAATGAGAGTAGTCGCGCCAATAACGACCCCCGCAGCCCCTGCCACCTTTTTTTGACCCGTCAATTTTATTCTTCATATGTTACTTTCCCGCGTGAACCGCGTATAAATGCGCAACACTTTGGAACCGCTCGTGTGAACCCCCCTTGCCCCCTTTGGCGCGAGTTATACTTAATTAAGTGGCCATCGAAGACCCCGGGCAATGCGTTGCTCGACCTTCGCGAGAGCCTTACTAAACCTACCACTTCGTGTATACCCATTTCTACTATGACCGGTCAAATGACCAGTCTCTTTTTTTCACTTTTACGAGGCAATGTAATTCTAATTTTTGCATTATACAAGGCGTTCAGCCATCCCTGAGAAAAATTAAATTAAAAAATTTCAAATCATTCTGAAAAAATTATTTTTAGTTGCAGAACTCAATTATAATCATTTTTGGTGAATAGATATACCCCTGAAATCCTACCCATTTTCGAGAAAAAAATTCGAGTAGGTATTGAAATTTTTAGACGAAATTAAAAAATTTCAAATCGTTCTGGAAAAATTATTTTCGTTTGAGGGAGTCAATTACAATCATTTTTGGTCATTAGACATACCCTCGAAATCCTACCCACTTTTGAGAAAAAAATTCGAGAAGTTGTGAAATTTTTCGACAATATTAAAAAATTTCAAATCGTTCTGGAAAAATTATTTTCGGTTGCGGGGGCCAATTACAATAATTTTTTATGAATAGACCTACCCCCGAAATCCTACCCATTTTCTAAAAAAAAATTCAGAACGGGCGGAACTTTAAACGTTAATAACTTTTTAACGAAGCCTCCTTTAACAAATTAGCATTCTTGATTTTCGTCTTATTTTGACCTCAAGAATCTCCCATTAAAATTTTTGCATATATAGAAAGTTGTCTTTTGATGTTTATTCGTAAGATATCTTTCTCTTTTATATTAAAAAATTTGTTGATTTTCATCATATACAAGATAAAATATCCTTAAAACCAAATTTTGTTCCAAGTCAATACTGTAGTTAATTCTAGAGAAAACAACTATTTAAGAAGAAATGCTGGCTAGTAATTACGCAAACATCCTGTATTTAAATTAATTTTCAATTAAATAAACAATTTATGGTCCAGTTTCATCGTACACTAGTCATACGATCAGTAGGAATTACTGAAACTTCTTTGGGTATGTAGAGTCGAAACAAATGTTAAAATAAACATAGAAGACAGCATAAATAATAATAGTTGTTACGTTCATATGATGAGGGATGAAATGCCCTTTAAAATGAGCGTTTGTACGAGTCGATAGCTTCATTAGTTCCGAAGATATAGCGATTTTAATTTCGCGTCGATGCGGTGGCTAGTTTCGGAGATAGGGTTTGTTTACGTTTCGTTGTGCGCTCGCGAGCTCATTGATCTCGCGCGCGTGAAAATAGTAAACAGTGCGTAGTAAATTCTTGGAAATACTACGCCCGGAAACTAGGTCACGAGAGTCACGTTTCACGTGCGACAAAGAGGTCCAGCGCGACGCGTCAGACGGAGACAGAGATAGTCAAATTAAGAAAAATACCCTTCTACATAAATTACGATATCTCGAAAACGGAAAGTCCGATCGTCAAAATCCAAAAACCATGTTAAAGAGGAAGCTTTGCCGCTGCTAACGGCGGCTCGATTATGGAGAAAGTGCTAATAATTTCGAAACTGCAGGTAATCAAAGTTTTAGTAAGTTCAATACGGGTTAGTAGTCTACTTTAACACGGGAAGTCCTATAAGAGAATTTTCTAAAAATTACCTATTTACATAAATTACGATATCTCGAAAACGGAAAGTCGGATCGTCAAAATCCAAAAACCGTTTTAAAGGGGAGGCATTACCGCTTCTAATGATGCCTCATTTATAAGTTTGTCTAAGTAATTAACAGAGAATGGTTTGTATAAACTAATGCTAATTTTAAATCAGATGCCAATCATAACAGAATTTTTATATTTTATGTTCGTTTATATTTATAAATAGTATATGTTAATACATGTATAAATGTTTGTTTTTTCAAGTTAGTTCAGTACCATTTGTAAACAAATCCTTGAAAGAAATTCGTTTTAACATTTCGGATTTGATGAATACAATGAAAGACGTTTTACAAAACGACATCGAACGATCGTTCGATGCATCGATTGATCGCGGGAAGAACGTACAGATATGTTAAACATTTTTCCCCCGAAATTCTGTTTCATTTCCAACGGATCGTGTGCGCATTCGATTCGAAATAGAAGGCACGTATTTTAAAAACTGCGCAAGTAATTTCAGGTTTGCCCGTTTTGCACGTACGGAACAGGCAAGGTAAGCTCATTCCAGGTTTCTTATCTATCACAGGGTCATCTCGCTTTTGCATACGAAGCAACATTTATCTTGCAGAAGACAGAAATATTCTCGGAACACGTCGGCATCTAATGTGAATCTGGAGCAAGCACCCCCGCCGAGCGCTAAGATACTAAGGCTGGCAAATAAACCGATCCTCGGAGAGATTGCCAATGACCCACGACCTTTCTCATTCACTGTATTGACTTTCATGAACGATCAAATATCGAGCAACACATATTTCCCTCTTACACTACCAAACTTCCGGCATACGGTCGCGTTCGTACTTAATGCTTTCACAATCGCTATCGCCTGTATCTATCCGACTTTACTTTAATTCAACTTATTACGTTTGTCGAGGTTCAAATTTTATGATATCCCAACATTTATAATTCTTTATAATTAAAAAACTCAAGAATAACTACGATTTAGAGAAATAAAGGCTCTGGTGTTCCACAGAGTTTTCATGTAGGACATTTACTATTTATATTGTATATTGACGACATCTCTAAAGTATTCCAACACGCTAAATTTATATTATATGCCAACGATATTAAGATTTATCAATAATGCAATTTAAAGTGACCTTTATGGGATTCAGGAATGGTGCTTAAACAAATTATTCCTCAATCTAGACAAGTGTCATACCGTTAAATTTAGTAATAATATAGTATGTACAGTAGAATGTACAGCTTATTGTACATTAATTATTTTACAAAATTTTCTAAGCGATAATATTTTCTCTGCATAATTTTTATTATGTTTTTCTTTAAATATTACTTCTCTTTGTACTAAAGGGTTTTTCTAGGGTTTAATATTAATAATGTTCCTAACATCTTTGTGTTCACTTTGGTCTATAATGTTAATATAAAAAGTTGTTTCAAGCAGAAATCAATCGATGAGCTTCAGAAGCTCGGAGTTCATCGTCCCAAATTTCAACAAACTATTCAGAAACTTTCGATCCCATTTTACTCGACATTTTTCTTCGAATTCTGATGGACTACTTTTTGAGAGATCTGCATGAATAGAGGCACTGCCTAGGTCGAACTAAAATCAAACCGACAAACTTAGTTCTTTTGTTTCCTTTGTTGGAACCTCGTTCGTTTAGACTGATCCTCTGCTTGTTTGAATTTAGAGTTTTTACGTTTTTTTAGAATTTGGATGGTCCACTATATAGAACCTAGATCAAATTAACATTGAAACGACGAACGTTTCTTGGTTCCTTTGCCTCCTCTGCTGGATCCCCGTTCATTTGGGTTGATCTTTCGTCTCCTTGTTTGTAAAGTGTATTCGTATCGTGGCGGTAAACGCGTTTAAAGACAAAGATGGTTCGGTGATGAGTAGACGGGCGCATGCAATTTTCGTTGATGCCCGCGGGGGATGGTTGCGAATGAAAGAAGAAGTAGAGGCAGTTAAGTAGGTGGAAGCACCCGGTATCGCATGCCGTTGGTGAACGTTAAGGTTGGTTTTCGGGCTACCATAGTAGTCGCGAAGTATGACCCGAAGCGACGTGGTTAATGTGGCAATATGATATATGTAGAAGTGAGAGGTACGTCGGTCGAAATAGCCTCTGGTAAAAGGCTCTCCTTTCGTGTTCCTACGACTTCTAGTAAGGATAAATACCGACGGGAATATACGTTGGAAGCCGCTGAAACGGGGCCTGAAAGGACCTTAAGGCCCGAGCTGCCCGCGCGCATAAACACGAAAATATCGTCCGAGCGTACGCGGAACGGAAAGGGCTTTTTTCACTCGGCTGATTACTGCCGTCTTAAATCAATCGAACGATCGAACTTGGAGCACACTCCGTAAAACTCGCCTGTGCATGCACGAACAATCATAAACGCCTACCCATACACGCGCGTGAAGAGTGTTACACGATGCGCAGGATGGATGGCAAGACGATTAACGACATCTTACATTCCGCGATCGATAAATCACCGTGGCCACTGCAAATGGGCTCGGTTTACTTATCTCTCACCTTTGGCTACCTTCAAGAAACGCCGCATTCGTAAAATTCTAATAAGGGGATGCTGCAGCCAGGGTATATCTGGGCACTGCCTATAATTAGGAAATATTGTATGCATACAGTTTTCTGATTATGCCACCAGCGGAATAGATTAGTCACGAACGAAAGTATAGCTACACCTGAGTTTCGATTATGAGATTGTAACTCGAAGGAATAACGGAATTCTCAGTTAATTTTTGTACTTATTGTAACTAATCTTAAAATATTATACAAATTATATTAAAAGGAAAAAATATAAATCATACATCAACGACTGTCTTCAATGAAACGAATATATCGACACACCTGGCTTTCGATTATATAATTGCTTGTAAACCGAAGGAATAGCAAAGTATTTTTAATTTTTATATTAATCGCGGAGTGTATGATCTTACAATATTATACAAATTATGTTTTAAGTAATTATATTAGAAAGAAAAAGAACATGTACACCTGTCTTCGACGAAACAAAGTATCAACAGTTACGAACTATCCTTTTTCCCATAAATACAGATGACATTTGTATAACATTGGTACGTTGTTTATACTCGAGGAACTCCCCATTATTTGTTTAATATACAGTGAATGTTAGAAGGTTTTAGAAGAATATTACAAGTAGAATGTGCGCTCACCTTCGCCGCAAGCCGCTGTAAAATCATCCATCACTTTAAAGAATCTGTAAGGAAACAGAATAAATATATTTACTTTTAACAAGTTTAAAAGATCCTTAATTTGATAAAATTTGCATCCTATAAAGAATAAAGTCTTCACTTGTTGGAACAAATTTTTCTAGTAACTTATTTAAACTGTACGCGTACCAGTTTATGTTCTTCATTTTTATATTATGTTCTCTTTACACACTATGATCGAGGATCAAAGAAATTAAAAGTTCGATCAAATAAAAATTTCGTAATTAATATTTCACTTCTGTTTTTAATACTCTAAAATACTTCGTATGAAAAACACTTTTAAAAGTTTTAGACAATATCAATTTGATACAGAGAGTATTAATACTATTTGAACTGTGCATCACGTTATTTTTCCCCAGAAAAGGAACTGAACACACACACAAATCTAATATCCACTGAAGTTACTCTCGAAATCATCTTCGACATACGTAAAAGTCATAAATAGAATATTAGTCAGGATAAAAAGTACTCAGCAAGTAAAATGACATTTTACAAACTGAATCGTGCAAAACGATTGCATAATTAATTAGAAATGCTGGTCAGAAGTTATTTCCTTTTCCAGTTTTATAGCACGAGTCCCATTAAAAGTTCACGGAGGAATTTCTTTGTGATCGGAAAGGCAATGAAAGATATTATAAAGAAGAACGAAAGAATGAGACGAGAAAGAGATCCTTAAAGCTTGTAGATTCGAAGATAGGGCAGCGCTTGTAATAATTCATTGGGCGGAGTCCTGCATCATCCTTTTTTTTTTACTCTTTAACTAAAAGAGAAAAAAAAGAGCAGAAAGGAGAGGACTTATTAACGAATTATTCCTACTTCGACTACTCGATAAATTATCGCAAGACGTTCATTCCCCTTTCGTATTCCGTCAAGATTGCAGAAACATTCCAAGCGCTCCAAGCAACGTGGAAGATACCTTCCTTTCCTCCCTGCCTGATTCCATGACTTCAATTACTCATGTCAAATGCATGCAATTTAGTTACGAAGCTTGCCACGGTCGAGCAACAACAGAATTTATTTTCATGGAAAATAAACAAAGTAGTCAAAATCAGTGTATTCTTCTATGTACAATTACAAATAAATGTTTTAACTAATGCAGAAACGACGTTTTGATTATTTTCCAGGGATCAAGAATATTCGAAACCAAAAATTAATCTTACTTTGCCCAATACTTTTAGTACATTTTAATTGCAATAATCGTTTAAAGTAAAAGGATATTGATTCCATTTATTTCAAATAAACCTAAAAAGAACATTGTTTTAATGAATTTCCAAGGGTCAGAACATTTTATTTTAATCGTCCAATTATCGAAACAGTCGTCAGAACTTTATTTTTAGATTTACTTGGTCTGATAGGCGCGAAATCGTTTCGATCTCCTTCCAAATGCGTCTACGATGAACTTTCACGAAAAGTAACCATCTGTCATCGTGTGAGAATAGGGTAGTTTAATTGTGCCACTCTATAGAGACTTAATAGGATCGTTTCTAGCGCCGTTGGTCCCTTTTACCTTCGAGGCGGGCTCTTTATATTACCTATTAGCCTAACACGATTATAAGCACTAACTCACTCACCGACTTACAAGATGCTTCCCACCGTCGTTCGATACCGATAGATTGTAAGAATAGGGATACCTACAACCTATTATGCGACCCGACGTATAGTGATCATTAAGAACGAACGACTTTTTCCCCACTGATACTGCCGGATAATCATATACAACGATGGTAGACTGTCGAAAGATGTATTTCAGTTATTTATAAACACCGTTGGAAGCCCATCTTTTTCTCGGACGACGCCATTCGTAAATTCGTGATTGAAAATGCATTCGAAAATGTGCAATGACTTTCACGATCCTCTGAACACTACTATTAACAATAGTATTACGGTAATAACGTGATTAAATGTAATTTTGAACAGTAAACAATCAGCACCTTCTATGTTAAAATGTGCAATGACTTTCACGATCCTCTGAACACTACTATTAACAATAATAAGTATTACGGTAATAACATAATTAAATGTAATTTTGAACAGTAAATAATCAGCACCTTCTATGTTAAAATTTGTTACTGCGACTGTAAACTTTAACAATGGAAATTTACATAAAACTACAACGTTTTTAAACATACAAACGCGCCAACGTTGTTACTACTTTGCAAGGTATTTAGACGAGATCAAAATTGAAAATTATGCAGGCTTATTAATATACAATATGTATTAAGATCAATTTACGAAATACGCCATCGCCACGTTGATACGTATCGGTATAAACGCGCAGAGTATTCCGCTTATCGACGCGAATGGGTTAATTTAGGTTATAATTTCAATACTTGAATTCCAGGGACTCTTGGACGCCCACAGTAGAATACCCGACTGGATTCCATGACTCGTTATGCGCGAACACGAGTAGCGGGACAGCAGTAATTAGCAATAAAAAAAAAAAATAATGCAACGTTTGTATTTCTACACGATAACTAGTTATTAATTAAATTATTCGTAGATACGCGATCGTTGATATTATTTCTCATATTAAAGTAATTTCTACCAAGTCGATGAGACCGTTTAATTAGAGTACGAAAACAAAACTATCGGGCCAGTCTATTAATTCGTATTTTTAGGAAATTTTGTTTTCATTATTTGTTCATTTTTTTAATAGAATTTTGAAAGGCTAAAAAACAGTTGGGGAAGAAATGGTTCCTTTATTCACTTATTCAATTATCTAACTACGTTTCAAATGCCTCGATACAGCAACGCATCTATCGGATAAGCGTTATGGTAGATCCTGGGAATGAAATATCGAAAAATGGCTGCCGGGAGATCAGCGTGCTGCGGCACCGGCGTAACGTGAAAAATGACAAGCGTTAAATTAATTTCACTTCGAATTTGAATTACAGATTCGACACGGACGCGGAGGTGTCCGCGCAGCCAGGTCAATTGGACTTTCCCCGTCGAAAGAACCGGCTACATCAACGTCCACGTCGTTGTCGTTGCCCTTCTCGTAGTTTTCATCTTCACCGAAAGCTCAAAAACTTCCCCATACGAGATGGACGGACGTAAATATTTATAACCACGGTCGTCTATCAGCGCTACGCTTCTATTAATTGACATCGTAAAAACGGGATCTAATTCTCTATCTACGTTCCTGAAAACAAACAACGAACACTCACGAATCGCTCGGTGTTTCGTGCCTTTTGCCCTTCTGTTTCATTTAAATACTTTCTGTATATCTTAGATTGAATTTCATAAACGATACAAAATGATTTATTATCGATACGTTACAAATTCCATCTTGAATTTGGAACTTCGAACTCGTCTATGTTATTACCTTTATTTACATACTGTCTACCGTTCATTTATTATACACGATTGGTCCCTTCGTTATTTAAAATTTGAAATATCTTTATTTATATGCACTATGATAAATGCATTTTTAATTAATACGTTCGTCTATTGCAGATTTAAAAGATATTTATCTACATGTATGTATACTCTGTAGCAAAACTTAACCATTTTCCAAATAGGAGATTATGTTAATATTATGAAGAAATTTCATAATAATTCGTAATGCATTATACTTATAAATCTCTTCGATCAAAGTGAACTATTTATCCTCTAGAAGATGTTCAAATAGAAGAGCGTTTTTAACCCTTAATAACTTTGCTACTTCCTAATTTTTTCAAATAAAAGAATATTAATTCTATTTGTTTTAACGAATTGAATGTAGAAAATAGATATTGCAGAAAAGAATTTCAATTAATTTCTAGAGGATAGAGCATTTTATTTTTCCTTGGCCATTCGATTATTGAAACAGCTTCCCTTATACAAAATCGTTCAATGTCCGGAATAAAATTGTTACTAAACCGGGTAGTAGAACGAGGTGGCTGGTTGAATACATAATAGTTGAACGTGTTCCATTTGTCAAAATGTGACCTTTTAATTAACCTTACCTACAATAATTCATTTTATCAAGAAATTCAAAATTAAGCGTTTCACGTTTATAATACTTCGCAGAGGAGTAGTAGGCAATGTGTACGTGTGATACTTCAGTGCAATGTACTGAAGAATACCTCACTGCACCGACAGAATTTGATCCGTACGTTAACCTAATTTTATTTAACCCTTTTGCTGCTCGACAAACATAACTAAAACTAGCAGGTGGCGACTCTAAACGAACTACAAAAGTTAATATATTTTGCGATATTTGAATACTTTTACATTATATTTTAGATAACGCTTCATCAGTCGAGTGAAAAGATAAAATAGATTCAATTTTCTTTGACATTAGATTTAAGGAAATAAAATTTGAAAAAATTCCAAACTCAGAAAAGAAATCGATGATATCGTAAAATTAAATTTCGATTAAATTGTATGCATGGTGGAAATAAAATTAGCAGTCGAAATCACGGGGGATCAAGCAAGATAGTTTTAATAAGGAGTTTCAATGATCCACAGATCATTTCCGGAACACTTGTCATGGCGGACGCCTGTGGGTCAAGAGGTTCAAGGTCAGATCACACCTGAATATTGTTCACGCGACTGCCATGCTCCGGTGACCCCAAAATCTCGGGAAATTCCACACGCACCACCACCACTACCGCTCAGAGTTTTATCACGACGCAAGGATTTAGCGGCTGGAGTAGCAATTGCACGCCGTTTGCCTTGTACGTGAAATTCCGTCACTTTTTCATACTAACTTCAGACAGGGCGACTATACGTTATTCCTTCTTCGTCTCAATATAGCAGTTTTTATAATAAGTACGTTTATTACTTGCAGTCGATAGCTCGATAGATTGGGACAGCACGGACTCGATACACGATTCAGATTCCTACGGTAAGTTGCTTATAATTGTTTAAACATAGCGTTAACGAACTAGCTTTAGTGCAACACGTTCAGAAAATTATTACGTCCCTTCTCTTCTAACAAAAAGATTAGATCATCCATACACACGACTGTTCAAAAGTCTCAAATAAAAGAAACTCTCGATTAAAAATAGTCCGAGCAAAGTCGTGTTTGGACTCATTTTCACCGGAAAAGTCTCGCCAATACAGTGATAACGCTCCCGTGGAGGTAGAACGAAAAGTACAAAAGTTTTTAGTTTCTACCAGAGGCTGCCACCTGATACAAATGCGGCACAGCTTTTTCACTCGACGAACGTGAGCGCCTGGAATCTCAGACGCGGTCGTCGTTGCTCTCGTTCGCCCTCCTCGTCGGACGATTTTCGCGTGGCTGGATCGGATTTCGTTTTTCCCTCGCGAACAAATGGAAAACCCTGGTCCCGATTTTTTGCACGTATACGAACACCACCGTACCACTGGATCAAACGTTTTAGTCAGCCTTCGAAACGCCAACGACTGAACGAAAATTACTCCACACTCCACGTTCCCCTTACCGATGCTACCACATTATTCTTAACCCGAGTCTGACCTTTCTTTTCCCTCCATTACACGGTATTTATACTATTTATCTTACGCGGAACGATCCGGAACGTTTTAACTGTGTAAGTGGAAGTAGAAATTTGTATTCTATGGCTGTGGTTACCCACACCAATCGAAATATTAACCCTTTTACAATTAACCCTGACTAATAACTTCCCGACCAGATTTCTTCGAATCTTCGCTTAAAAGCTTAACTCACATTAAATGTCACTATTTTTTCTAATCGCGATAAGAGAAATTTTTAACTTAATTTGTTCGTTTAACAGAATATATAGAGGGAATGCTACGTGGTCCGATCGCTGCGTCCAGCCGTCGTGATCCTAGAATGGCCAGCGTACGACAAGAACGACAAACTCCAGGAATGTCGGGAATACGGCGCGCGAGATCACCGCAATTCCCACCGACTACAAGCAGACATTATCCAAGAATGACAAGAATGACACCCTGCGGCAAATGCTTAAGAGTGAGCACTTCGATTCAAAGTAACGCAGGCTTTTGCAACTAGTCTTCACTGTACGCTTTTTAACGCAGATGTAACGACGACGACGAAATGAAACTGCGAACAAGAACTTCGATTAATCGCTATCTAAATAAACTTGGTGTACGAGTACGGAAGCATCGTTAACTTATTTCTGGGAGACGCGCTAATTGCGAAAAGAATCCTCTTTGGAAACATCCTATGAAGCTGCTCCCGCTTCGAATCATTCGGAAAGGCTGTATAATGCTCGATCAAATCAAATTTAAATAAACTGTGTGATTAAACGTCATTTGAATCGTATGATTGTGTTTGAAGATGTCTGATAGATGAACATCTCTTTCTCTCGCGCGTGAGTCGTGACGTAATGTGTACTATATACTGTTTACTACGGTCACGCGAGGTCAATGGCCTCGCGACGTAAACAAACGCTTCAAACCCTTGTATCTTCGTCACTAATTATGCTATCGACTTGAACGAACACTCGTTTTAAAGGACTTTTCGTTCTCTGTCCGATGAATATATCAACTATTCCAATTTATGCTGCCTTCTATGTTTATTTTCATATTTACTTTGACACTATGCACCTACAGAAGTTTCAACAATTAATTATACGACTGGTGTGCGATAAAACTGGATTAGAAACTGTTTATTTAATTAAACATGAATTTAAATTTGTATACAGAACGCGTAACTACCAGGCAGCATTTTTTTCGTAAATAATTGTTCTCTCCGAAACTAACTATCGACTCGAAATAAAATTCGTTTCCAAGGGCGTTTTGAAAATTAAAAAATTTCGACGTAGTTTGTAAATTTTCGGTATGAAGGCGACTAAGAGTACATTTATAAATATATCTTACGAATAAACTTTAAAATACAACTTTCTATACATATAATGTAACAATTTGAAATACGTTGCCTCGTGAAAGAGAAAAAGAAAGACACTTGACCGGTCACGGTGGAAATGGGTATACACGAAGTGTCGGTAGGTTTAGTGTTAAATACTATCACGGCACAAGCAGCCTGTCGTGTGCTCGAAACACGCTGAAGAAGGCAGAAAGGATACGCGATGGGAAATTTACGTAATAAAGCGATCGTCCGGGTGGTCCCGAGCATGAGGCGCGTTCCTCGTCATCTCGGCGATGCTACCAAATTGGAGAAGACAAAGAAAGATGAAGAGAGATTTGAAGTCGACTTGTAATAACGTTGGCCAAGACCATGATCCGAGTTAACGACATCGGAAATATGACGCAACGTACACGCGTACTCGTATCATGAATACGAGAGGACGTAAAGTATCTTTTACCACCCACAATCGCTTCCCAAAACGTTTCTCTTCCGTCTTCGTGACAATGCCGTCACGTTTCATCTTTTATGTAGCGAACGTGATATACCGTAAAAATGTTTCGGTCGAATTTACTGTAACCGCAAATTCGATCACGGATTCTTTCGAAAGTCTTACGCGTTGCAAAAATAAGGTGCTCGGTGTTCTTGATTTAATAGTTTCTTTGTGCAGCTTTCAATCAAGTATCTTAACAGCATCGTTAAAGGCAAATTTCTAATTATTACACATTTTCCTCGATAAAGGTTGCAGCATACTGTTAATGTACAAAGGAAACTTGCAAGTTTGCAAAACAGTGTAATATTTAAAGGACAAAAATTACAATTTTAAAGATTTGATACAATAAGAATGTAACTCCTTTTACACTTATTTTTTTAAGAAAAATGGCTTTTTTGCACTAGCTCAGCAAATAATAAAGGTAAAAAGAAATATTTGATTACGAATGTCAATCAGACTCATTTTGGGAGCCTAAATTTAAGCTCTGGTTTAAGACAGAAGCTTTGTGTACCAGTGTGAGATAGTTATTTTCAGAATCTTCTCGATACCCGATCCGAAGACAGTTATGGTCGTGTTTCTCTATTAGTTTCGATAATGAGGGTTCAACTATACTGTTCGTTGAAACTTGTTTCGCGCGACGAAATCGTGTACGGAACGCTCGACTTCTTTTCGTGTTTTCACATGTTCCCCCGATATCAGCACAGTATTTCCTTGTATTTGTGGAATATATGAGCATTGTCTCGACATACAAGACAGAGAACACGAGGAAACTTATGTTCGATGTCTCGGCGAATAAAGACGTCGTTGTTGAAGCGTCAACACCCACGTTCCTCGTCGCGCAACGCGTACATTTAGTGGATTTGCCTCGAGAACCTCATGGAACACGATTCGAATGCATTTAGGAAACCAGAGTCCATATATTGTTAGCATGATAGTGAATATCGTGCAACCTGATCTCTGTTAGGTGTATCTTGTTACACTGACTTGTACAGTTTCGCGTTAACTTTCAACACGCTCTAAAACTAACTACAATTAACTGAAAACCGGATTCGCGTGCTTTTTTTAAATAACTCCGCTAAGTACAAGTACATCGATCGACGAAGCAAGATTTCTTATCGATGGTGGCTAAAAATTAATTTTTACACGCGTACTTATGAGTGAAAAGACGATATATCTTTCATTTAAATAAATATTGTAATAGTATGCTTATTTTGAATTAATTTTAAAATATCGAAATGTCTCTCAATATTTATTTTCGTATCAACTTTTTCAAATAAAAAGGATAATACATCGCCTTTTTCACTCTTGATTATTTACTCTAAACCAGATTCAGTTTAGCGATGGTAGATATAAGCGTAAAATTTATAAAATTTACGAACTTACGCGACGATCGAATTTACCGACGTGCTCCGCGTAATATGGCGCTCATCAAAGCCCAACGGACCGCTGAGAATTGTTTTTACCGGCGTTTCGTTTCACAATCATAAAAAAGCTGTTCAGTATTCATAGAATATGTGGTCGCATAGGCTGTGATAGCTTCATGCATATGTAGTGGCGTCAGTAACGAAACACACTCAAGTTAGCACAGTGACAACGATGAGAATGGCGTGGAAAAATAATACTATGTATTATACTAAAGTTGGGGGGCACACGAGCGTTGAAACGACGAAATTTTTAATTTCAGATTCTATTATTAATAAAAAAAACTTTCGTAGAATTTAACGATTTCGTTCGTAGGTGAAAATCCTCTAAAAAGTTTCAACGTCTTCTTTAATTTCCAAAAATTTGTAACTATTTGATCGTTGGGCATCATAGTTAAAAGATATGAAACACGAGTTGCTATCTTTAACAGAATTCAGGTGCAAAGTATAGAATTTGAATTTCTTGTTTGACTTAATATTCCACTTGAATAGTAGAAAAGCTAAGAATAGTAAATAAGAAAGTATAAAATATTTCCAAAAAATTATTCAGTGTCGCTTGTGTGCATACAGAATCTATTCCACGCAATTACAAATGAAAAGATCGAAGAAAAGTCTTTAAAATTAATAATTTAAAAAATTTTGAAATAGGTTTAAATATTGCTGAAACTAATAACACTAACATAAATATTAAGCTTCAGAAGAGTAAGACAACAATTATTTTCTGATACCACAAGATCGATGAACGAAATTTTGTAAATCTTTTTATACAACCGAATGTTAAATTCGCTTGAGATTAAATAAAATACTTGATCATGCATATATTCCATTAAAGCGATTTTTATAATGAAGTTAACGAAAAAAGTGCAAAATAAAAATTAGAGAATTAAAGAAGAAATGTTACTCACTTTCTCACCACATCCATGGTGGGAACTTCCCGCCCACGTACCATAATCTTCTCGTATTGCACACCATAATTTTTGAATTCCTGCAGCAAAATGAAACTGGGAATACACAATTGCACATTTTGTACTCTTCAACGAATTCGAAATTTCTAAAGGATAGAGACGAATGTGGATCGACCAAAGTTTAATCGAAACGAGGAATATTATTAAAAACAAAATTTCCTAGTATAAATATTTATCTCGATGAAATAAAGTGTTCAAATCTTTACGATTATTCTTGCACGATATTTGCATAAAAATTACCCTTCCCAGGGAAGCAAAACTTAGATAAACAATGCAATTATCGTTTAGACCTAACATAAATGAAGAAAAACACCCGAAAGCATGGTAACATCCGCGCTTTTGTATTCGTCGACGAATAAAAGCTATGTCAAAGAACTATGTATTTGGAATATACGTGAATCTGAATTTTACGAGTATTTATCTTACCTTTTCGTCATAGTAGCGGTCTGTGTTTGTGAGGTCGACGATATACTTGAGACGTGGAAACGCTTCCACCAATATCGATATTGTAAATCTACAACAGCAAACATGGTTGAATTACAATGTGCGCATCGAACATCGAATTTCGATCTTCCCGTCATTCGTGAACGATGCACTATGTACATTAGAAAAATATAAGTGCCAGGATGCTATAATATTTATGGTCTTTCTCGATACTGCGATATGCACATTTCTATCCAGAATGTGATTCTTTATTAAAAATTTACACGAAAGGAAGTTTCCTTCGTTAGAATTTTCTTCTTTTACAAAATAGATTTTCAATGCAAAAAATGTCTGTGATCATATTGTTCTATCAATTGGTTACATAAATTATGTATATTTGTAAAATAGAACAAATGCTTTATCGAAAGAAACAATTTTAAAATTCATTTCACACCTTTACAGGCGTCGATTTTAAAGAAATTTATGGGAAAGATAGTTATCGAAAGAATATTTGACACGTATCTTTTTTATCGGCTGACATCCACTTTGGAAGATTGAAAATTCGCTCGAAAAAATAACGCTTTCCGTATATTTCTTGGAAAAATAAAACTATAGAACTTTTTCGACAACAGTTCTGCTCGCTTTTTTTTATTAATCTTTTGAGAGTTCACACAAATTTTTTTTAGGCGCAAAATAATAAAAATTGTAGAAGTTATTTAATAACTCGAAAAACGTGACCAGATGGCTTAATTGAATCAATTAAACGTACAAGAAACAAATTACTAGCTCTAGACTTTATCGTATAGTTTTATTCGCTAACTGATAATTTTATAAACGTCAATGGGTATCGAAAATTAAAGTAAATCATCAGATTGCAAAAGAAAACATTGTTGAATTGATCAAATTTATTAATAAAGAATAAAGTTATCATGGAATAAAGTTATCAAAATGGAGCATTAAATAAGAACACTAAAAATAGAAGTAAAAGTAAAGGATTGCTCACCGATTTTCTGGCTTCAAGTTATTGCACACTACCTGGAACAAAAAAAGAAGAAAACTTAATCAATTCGCTTTTAATATACTTTTAATACTTAAGGTATAACGCATAATTGAATTAAGAGGCCAAAATTAACAATCCTGGCGGTTCTCATTATTAATTATTAATTCTACTTATTTTAACGAATCGATCGTATCATAAAAATAACAGAAGAATATCAACGATAGAACCGATTTTTATAATTCACATTTCATGTTTCGAATAAATAACTATTTTAACTATGTTATATTTTCACATTTTACACGATAGTTTCTCCTATTTTATATGCACATTTTTAAAAGTTAGTTTTGTATACATTTTGCAAAATTTTTTAATTAAAAGTTCTTCGTAACTATTTCAAAAATCTAAACCTGTATCATAATAGTTTTTAAGGGCATCATATAAGGGATATTGTCAGACAATGTGATCGAAATCCTGCTCTAAATAATTACACTGACACTTTGTTGCAATGTTAATTCCAAAGTGTGAGAGAACTAATTGAAAATAATTAATCTAAATAATATTTGATAGCCTCGTAGCCTTATGTAGAAGCTGTCTCTCATAGTCTCGTCCTTAGCCTCTTTTCTTGAGTCTCGAAAGTAGCGAAACCTTGGAACCCCGAAGACTCGAAAACGTGTAAATTGAAACTTTCGTTCGTTTTCTCGTAGTATCGTACTCACTATGGGTGGGCTAATAGTAATTACGGGTTTAGACTCTGCGATCCGATTGACTGGGCGGAGAGATCGTATCTACGAATGAGTGTGGATTGAGTATCGGTCGCATTAATAACGGGCTCGTGGTATAGCTTTCGTATCCAACCATAATCATATGACGTTGACTAGGCGTGGATCTTTTTCGTACCTTAATGGTACCCATTTTGTAGTTACCCGGCAAACGTGTAATCGTCGTTTTATGATTGACAACCACGACATTAATTTGTACCAATTAATACATGCATTTAAGTATTTAGGCGCATAATAAAAATTTATCAGAACTATCAGGTCGGTTCATAAATTCGTACTTTTTGTCCTCAAACTGACGAGGATAAAGTTCTTAGTAGAAGGAAAACGAAATTTAATTTTATTTAGTAATTGGGGATGAAGAATGAATTTTATACAATTCTCAATAAAAATGTTGCTAGACTGTTAAACTAAGGACCATCAGAACGATATTTCAACTTGGAAAAACTGTTTTCTGCCTAAAAGAAAAAACGTTTGTAAACAAAATACAGAATTTTTTTTAGAAACAAGATTTAAAAATGAAATTTTGCAAACTCGTCAAAATATGGGATACAATTTTTTTACAGATTTGCAATCTATTAAAGGAATATCATATTTTATTAAAAAATCAGTGCTTCCAAACTTTCACTACCTGAAGTCTAATTCGAGGAACGTTTATCTAAACGATTATTAGTAATTCAACGACCGAATGAAAATATTACATTTCACTGCCACGATTCAAACGTTTATCACGAATTAACCCTATTACCTGTAAACTGTTAACGTTACCTGTCGTTTGGGGAGCTATAATCAGCTTTCTACGTTGAAATTTGATATGAAGAAGGGTAGGAAAGTTCGAACTGTTCAGGAAGAATCGTTTTAAGAGAGAAACGAAAAGATAAGAGAGAAACAGGGAAGCAATGAACGCTACCCACCTACAAAATGTACTAACCGTGCCCTCGCGACAGTGGCAGTTTATTTTTCGCACGGTACAGACCTCCTCCCTTCGGATGAAAGCAGAATCGGTCTCTCTGCTGATTCCGCCATTCAATTTCACGAACCTTAGTCTAATATACGACCGCATCTAAATCAGGATTATCGACCGACGAACTGTGCCTCTATTGTGAGCCTTCGTGGCGATCCCTGTGTACGTCCTCGTGCAAACAGTCTTTTCGTGAGTGCATCTTCCCACCGCCTGTATCTTTAACTATTCACTTTTCTAACTTTCTTTTGCCCGCCGATTATTTATCCTTAACGCTAGATTTACGGACACTGATTACATATATTTTTACCCGAACCCCGTCACGTTGACGGTTTCATTAAAATTCGGTTTTTCTTCTAACGCGTAAATTGCCACGTCACATAATTTTCTACTAAAAAAATTCTCAGGATCAGACGTTAAAGGAAATCAGTCTAGATAGTGTTTATACTAAATAAGTGACCAAAACAAATGCACATAGTCTCATGAAATAGAGTTTCTCACTATAGAAAAATAGAATACATTAATTTGAAGTTGAATTCTAGGGAATATTGATAAGTTGAAATGGGAGAACATCAGCTTAACACATTGACTACCACATTCATGTATGGGTGACATAATTTTTCACTAAGGATCTAAAAAAATTAATTTTTGAGATTAGAAATTAAAGAAAATAAATCTGGATAGGACTCTTGAATTTTAACGAGAATTTTCCACTTATCTAAAAACAAAGTTTCGTTTTCGTGGGCAATTTGAGGAGTCGGAAGACACCCAAGAAGAGAAGACAAGCAAAGTATAAGAATATTCCAACTACATAATTGGTCAATTAATACACATTTTAAAGATTTGGTTACATTTTGCCCAATTCTGAATCCAACGTTAATAAAAAATGAAAGGAATAAATTAGTTGACTCTATAGATGGCAAGTTGTATTGAAAAAGTAAAACTATTCGGTAATTTAATGGTGATTTTCCTATTTCGTAGCATTCTTAGCGACAGTAGCGTTATTTTACGCGATTTTTAAACACATTGTAAGTTTTGAGCGCCATCAGTGACCGCCAGTGACGGCCAACGCGTTAACCGGGGCCAAGAAGTATGGAAAGTACACAAAATAAGAATGCGATCGCAAAGAAATTTGGCAGAACAGAAACACAACAGCTCGACGACCGTTAAATCACATATTTTTTTCACGCACGTGCACCACGAAACGCGCGCGCAAATTCGTATGTGTTTTTATTATAAGGGAAGGCTTTGAACGGGCAAAGAATGCTTTTTATATACTATAAAACATACGTTTTATGTAGTGTACGCAGTATATATCATACATGGCTTCGCTATAAATTTCACCCGATTGGTTACGTTCGAGATAAAGTAATTTTTGCAAAATCGGGAGGCTGCTTTTATTAAACACAGATTTTGTAATAAATAAAACACCCAAGGCAGAAAGTTGTAGAATCGACTAAAATTTCTCATCGCGATAGAAACATTGTTTTCTAGCAATAAACGTTATTTTAATATTCAAGTTAGCGACTTAACTTTAAGATAACTTTTTTTATTACCAAATAAAAACTTCGAGCTTTATAGCAATATTTTTATCGCGATCCATGTGACATTTTATTAAATACTACTCGTTTGCTCGACAAAGACCGAGGTTTTAAATTTATTCCTGTTCAATAGTAATTACTAAAATTCACGTAAAAATTACTATTTGTATTGTATACCAAATATATTTCAAGCACTCCAAGGATATTCTTTTCGCTCGAATGAACAAAATTTCAAGATGGAAGAGATTTAACGCCAGAACTACCAACAATTATAGTGTATTTATTTATACCAAGGAAATTAAAACACGATAGACACGTGAAGAAATGTATAATGCAATGGAAATAAGTTTAGTCATTCTCTTATTAAGAATTCAGTCGAGTAACTTTTTCACAAATTTTATTAGAAATCATGAATGGGTCATTTTGGCTGCTTTGGCAGTTCTAGCGTTAAATTCGTCTCGTTTCCGTATCTTTAAACGACATACTTGGTACGAAGACTACGATCGAGTTACGTTTCAAGTGCAGACACAATGAGGAAATAAATTTAATCAGGTGCGGATGCAGCGAAGGCTCCGTTGGGAAACCGAAATACTGGCGCGCGACGTAGGCGTCGACCAACGGTAGGTACCGACGATATTTATTGGGAATATTTACGAGGGGTGTCCTTTCATGCTTTCGCTGCGAGTAGGCCATAATACTTTGAAGATCCTCGCCTCGTCATGCGAAAACGATGGCGCTATTTCGGCGGGACTGCCGTGAGAAATTTCGAGGAAACAATCACGAGAGGTGGCGTCCACGAATTTAACCGCGAAAATATTTACGTCACGGTCACCTTCTTTCGCCAAAGAATGTACTATGAAACGTGTGGGAAAACATGATCGTAATCATCGACGAAGAAAATCGAGCAGAAAGTGTCCGAAGCGTATAAATTTGGATCTATACAAGAAATACAAAATCAGCAATTTTTTCGATGCTTTTATTTACATTAACGAAAATCGACGAGATTAGATTAATTTTAACTTGAAATTATATTCAAAGTTTAATCATTTTTTCTCGATAATAATTATTTCCACTGTTATATGCATCCAAATAAATTTGTCTGTCAACGATTGGATAATTATTTCGAAGAATTATACTTCGTTATAAATGAAAATAAAACGTAAAAATTGGTATCAATGATCATGTACATTATTGGCAAAACGGATCACTTTTATTAACATATCGAGTGGATTGAAAAATCTATACATATAATAATATTACGATCACGTTTGATAAAATTATAATTGTACTACGAGTCCATTACAGTACGCTCGATATTTGTAGAAAGTAATAAATTCGACGGAAATAAATGAGTCGACGAGTGATTAATAAATGTCTCGCAGAATTACACGCGTGCGTATGTTTTATGGAGCATAATTTGCGAATAGACATCGATAACGATCGTCCGTGACAAGCAACAGTACCCTGGATCGGCGAACATTACACGATCTTCGGCGCACAAAACGGTCGAGACGATTTCTATGAAATTCCAGCGTGGATAAGAAGCAAGAAGAGAAAAGGGCAGAAAGGATGGGATGAACAACTCGCGGGAAGAACATTTTGTTGCATCAGAACAGCCAATGGTTGTAGGTACTCATAGAATCGCATAGGAACGCCATATAGACTGCTATATTGCTGCCGCCAGCTGATATATGCGCGACATTATCCGTATCCACTTACTTCCTCGTTTGGCAAAAGATTTCGAGCGATTTAAAATG